TAACAAGCTTGAATACTATGGTCCAAATCTATGGTCCGAGACCGTGCTCGAGGCTGGGCGCTGAGCGTTGATGGTGAAAGCTGGCAGTATTAAAATAATGCATTTATTTTACGTGGCGATGATAATATGATACCATCCTATGGTCCGATAGAGGGTCGGCGCCTCGTTATAAGCGCACACTTAGACGAAGCACTTGCTTACCTTTCGATATTTCAAACGTTAGAGTACGTTCAAGATGAACGCTGGTTTTCGGAGCTTGACAGCCGGCGCCGATAATCGTAGAGTCAGTGTGTGAATAATCCTTCGTATTTTGGCGGTACTGCCCAAAATGCACCTGCGTGCTAACCATGATACAGTGTTGACAACCTGTACGTTGGTACTCTGACTCAGATATTTAAATGAATGAACCTGCACTCTGGTTTCAGACACCTTGCGCTGATGAGTGTTGATTTTTATTCGTTTAAAGTGTGATTCATGATAGATATCGAGGAATTAATAACAAAGGTCTAGGTTAATTCTCCTGTATATGGGGCAAGAGAGTAAAGGATCATTGCAATAGAAATATTGTTGACGCCTGTTAGAAAAGTCATAATGGCCTCTCGCCTCTCGGAGTCAAACAGTTCCAAGAAATTTTACTACCAGCTACCAGTCTTCATGTTTGATGTATCTTTAGTTTAAACGATCGCCGGGAACGAGATTTGTTCATTAAACAAAATGTCCGTGCCTCTGGGTTGATACTCGGTCGACTCTCTACAGTGATTCCAATATAACAAGCTACTATGACCATATGCCTTATAAAGGCACAGCAGTAATGTGTTAACTAAACACAAACACACTACACAAAACCCTACGCTTTAAACATACACTTTCACGTTTCTTGAGATTCCCGCGAAAAAAATAGAAAAACCTGCATTTCGCACTTAATTTAATGGGCATATATATTAAGTAAAAAAATTGTGATACGTGGATAATTTCTAAGTTCTTAACATGTTTTTTTACTGATTTCCCTACACTTTATTGTTAATGTTTATCTCAAGGTCTTAGACGACTTTTATTACGTATAGAGAGATATAAGATAGAGAGCAATTTGCTGTAGTTATAGCCAACCTTCAGTAATGGAGAAGGCACCTTAAGAAGAAGATTGTTTTTATTTGCTTAATTTCTTGTTCTTGTTCCGGATTGTAGGTAGATGTGAATTAGTGGTGCTTATTTATTTGGGCTCTGGTTTAATTTAATAAATTTTAATGTCGCATGTGTTTTGAGCATATTTACAATATTATTGACATTAATTCCATAGTGAAATCATCTTATTTGTGTCGATGAACAGCCGTGAGTTAAATATTTGTTATTGAATATTTATGCAAATTGCTATAAACTTGACTATAAACAATGCGTAGTTTACTTTATTTTTGAAAGAACTTCTATATATAGAATTTAATTCGTAATTATCACCTCATTACATCGTCCTTATCGTTCTAACATCGTACCATGGAAGTTTTTAATGTTTTGACCCATTAAAAAGTAAATTAAAGAGCAACTCAATGTGACCACAATTTTTTTGTGGTTTTCAACTTTATTCGCTTCGGAAGTTATGACCCTTCGCCATATTACTGATTACTTGAATGCTGAAACTTCCATCCCTCACATGGCAAGGAATACTTCGGTAAACTTAACCAGTAATACCAACTTAAAGATTGCGTTAGGAAAATTATTTAAGGTAGGGATCGTGTTATACAGATCTTTTAATTATCGCAATATAAATGAATCGGTCCTTTTAAAAACCTCATTTATATTCACTGAAGTTCTTTTGAGAAAACTACTAGTATTTACGTACGTAATAATATGCAACGTCTTCTATTATATATTGTAGGTTTTGATGGAATACTTTTTTCTTAAAACAAAATACAAGTCAACTAGCGTGCTGTCGTAGGCCAGTAAAACATTTCAGCCATGGAACCTTCTACAACCTTCTACTTCTTTATTTTCTACCTAAGACTTAAATTTACCATTTTATTGTTTTTAATAGGAATTTTTATTGAATAGTTATTGAAAGTTTGAATGAATATTGTGTAAAACCATCTATGGAGTCAAGTGTGATCACATATCCTTTTATTGTATGAAAGTAAGAAAAGTGATTGAACGATGCAATGGTGAATGCCTGCTTTTTATGTTTTGGTACATCTCTTCTAGAAATTCCCATTTTCAGTCAAAACTATGGTAAACTTATTTTTCTGAATCGATGAGAATACTAGTTGCACATACTGAAATGGTGTATAAATGCTGTTAAATTTCTTAAATTTTCGCTTAATAACTGCAAAATCGCGATCACATTAGCATATATCCACGAACAGGAAAGTACTAATCCACGGTTTGAAACCTATTAAGTTGAACAAAAGCAGAACACATTTTTACTGTAGGGTGGTTTTTGTTTTGACCAGGACATCCGTCCATGAAAATATGAAGATGTTTTACTTCTGTAGATAGAACTTTCTCTTTCGTAATAAAATTAACACAGGACATTTTCTTCACCACCTGTGCACACCGACTTTTTTGTACCAACGAATAGTGTTCCTATGCGATCGATAATACAACATCTGATCTTGGAGATCAATACCTGACATGTATTTGTTGTACTGACTTATGGCATGGGTGTCGGTTTAATTTTTGTATTTCCAGACTATCATGGTCTTAGCATACTCAGTAGAAATATAAAAGACTTCTCGTTTTTTTTTCCACTTACCTACACATACACCTCCCCCATAAAATTGAATCGATTCTTCTGTTTTTAGTTTTGCCAGACCTAGTTCGACCGGCGTTTCTTTTTTCCCGATCTGAGAGTTCCTGTACAGTAGGTACTCTTGCTGCGCATACCTTGTACAGCTCATAGGACAAGCGTTTCCATTCTAAACCAGCCCGAGATTAAAAAAGGCTGTCCAGAATATGTCTGGCAACGTATTCTGCAATTTTTCGATCACGTTGTTCGCAGAGGTGACGATAGTTTCTTCTTCTTCTTTTTATATAGATATAACTCTGTCCGTTTTTCAATGTGCCTTTAGTAACTTGTCGTTTCATTGTTTACATGGCTTTCTTACTGATCGTCTTCCTATTGGGGAACCGTCTTGCCGTCTTTACTATTCTATTTGTTGTCATTCGGCTTATATGATCGTTCCATTCTTCCTTCTATCCCTTACCCAGTTCTTGATGTTTTCCACCTTGCATCTACGTCGTATATCTGTACTTCTAGCTCTGTCCCATAGTGTCTTACCATCAATTTTACCCTCTCTGTGTCAGGTCTTGTTTCTGCTGCGTATGTCATTATTGGTCTGATGACTGTTTTGTATATTCGGCCTTTCGTTTCTTTCCCGATATTTTTATTTCTCACTTCGTTCTATTCACTTGATCTTCCACTTCAGTTTCGAGCTTTTCGTAGCTAGATAATGTGATGCCTATATATTTAAACTCCATCACTTGTTCTATTATCTGACCTTCCAGCTCCAATTTATATCTTAGTAAATTTGCTGTTTTAACCATTTATTTTGTCTTTTTTGGGGAAATTAACATGTTAAATTGGCGGTTATATTCAATTGGTGTATCATACGTTGTAAATAATCATTTTCACTTTGAGAGAGTTTTATTGCGTCGTCTTTTTTTTTGGCGATAGTTTGGAGATATTAATTGTTTCTGAAAATGTTCCGGGGAGTAGATCAAGAGGATGATCACCAATTGGCAGCGTGTCCGTTTCCTCCCATGTCATCACATACTCTAGTATAAATCTGAGTCTTGATTACCGTTCCATTGCTTTCTGTTAGCAAGTAAAATTTCACGCCGTATTTGTTTTTTTTTATTTTTATATATTGACGAAAAAGGGGCCGACCTCGCTATAACATCATATATTCGTAAATATACAAATTTTTCATAGGGCTATAAATGTCTGAAATTCTGTTATTGAAAAAGTCCAGTAATGGGTCTGACATTCCGTTATTGAAAAAGTCCAGTAATGGTCGAACTTTCTACAATCTGTCAATAGGGACAGCCTCACCTACTTGAGGGTTTCGAACAAAATGGGGACACCGTAAAATGATCATGAATCTATTCCTATTCATAACCTTTGTTATCGGTAAATTGTATAACCTGTCAGTCCTCCAATAGTTCCGAATTCTGGGTAATTGATGTATCTCCATGAAAAGCGTGATGCCCAAAAACACTGACGTTTCTCGCCTATCAACAGATTTTCAGCGATTTATCCTTGAATGAGGTCTTGAATTTGGATCATTTATGAAGACATACTCAGCATAAGAGTTCGTTTCCTTGAGCAGCAACTCAAAGACATCGTTAGTAGCTAAAAGATAAAAGTAGTCTATCGGCTTACCGTCAGGGGATGCGGCCATGTTCAATTTTGGTTGTCCAGTGAATTGAATCCTTCGAAGAATAGGTGAATTCTCCGCCCATTGCAAAGTTGACTGCAGTTCTTCAGGAATCACAGGTTCGATTTCTGGTTCAGGAATGTCTTCTGCAAATTCTTCGGCCAAATTTTCAGCATCACTTCACGCACTACCGGAATCTTCAAATGGTTCATCATCTGGCTCTGAACAGAATGATAATGCAAGCATCTTCTTCTCCGTTAGGTTTTTAGAATTTCGAATTCTTGGCCTCTTTGAGTTAGATGATCCCAGACTAAAATTATTCGCCTTTTCGATACTTTTACAACTTTTAAATCGGAACCGCGGACGTACATTTAAAGGTATATACCTATGCAACGTATACTACCGTAAACATACCTCAATTGAGGTGCACAAGCTCGTAATATTTCACTTAATAACGAAATACCATCGCCGACACTTGTGCATTGTTGGCACCCTTGATGAAACCCGTGTGTCGACACATTGTTGTCGTGGGCGTTGAACGAGTTAAAACGAACGATTCAAATTTGATTTTTTCTACTAATTATTTTATTTTCTGATTGAATTTCGAGCACTAATAGTGTAATTCTTTTGTTACAGCTGGAGATTCAGATGCAGCAGTAGAACTTAGAGAAGAAAAATATGAAATCCACATTGAGCGTTCTCAAACTGGATTAGGGTTATCGATAGCAGGCGGACATGGCTCCACTCCTTTCAAAGGAGATGATGAAGGCATATTTATTTCTAGAGTAACTGAAGGCGGTCCGGCCGATTTAGCAGGATTAAGAGTAGGAGATAAAGTTATAACTGTTAATAGAGTCAACGTCGTTGACGTCAGTCACTACGATGCAGTAGAAGTCTTAAAAGCATCAGGTCCAGTTTTGATTTTAGAAGTAACCCGAGAAGTTACCAGGTTGGTTAAGCCTCCAAACACGATGGTAGCAACTAAGCACAGTCCCACACCTTCTTTAACAAATACGTTAAACAAAAGCGCAATACCCCCTCCATTGCCACCGCAATTGGAAGAAGAAGTGCCCCTACAAAAAGTATTAGTCCATACTACATTAATTAGAGACTCAAAAGGACTCGGTTTTAGTATAGCAGGAGGCAAAGGCTCCCAACCTTTCAAGGCTGATTCTGACGCCATTTACATATCACGCATTACGGACGGTGGAGTTGCCGATAGAGATGCTAAGCTCTCTGTAGGCGATAAAGTAATATCAATTAACGGTGTCGATTTAACAGGAGCCTCCCACGATCAAGCCGTAAGCATGCTTACAGGATTAGAAAGATTTGTAAGACTGGTAGTTGAGAGGGAAGTGCCTCTAGAGAAAAACGGCGACGGTGCTAGTCCGGGACCTCAACAAAGTCCGAGGTTGTTTGGATTACCCAAACCGTATACGGGACTGTATGCTGCTAATAGTTACATGGCTAACCGACCTGGGTACGCAGGGTATCGAAGATCGATGGAACTTGATAAAAAGGTGAGTGTTTTTCTGTTAGCCTTGAAGGCACATTGTAACTGTAATATTTTACTACTCTACTACTACTGTTTTTTGTGTAAAACTAGAGGTCGCTGGTTAAAATTAGAATAATAATCGCAGATAAATGCATTGTTTTAACTGTAAATAAATTAGCGAAATAGCAAATATTAGTGTGAATAAATTACGAAAATTAGCTGGCTTTACTCATTGCTGTTATCTGTACAAAGAAAAGAACTTACCTTTGAAATATTGGTGTATTAATTATTGTAGCCAGTGGATTAGCGTTGTATCTGCCCGTCCCGACCGACGCCCAGCGCCGAGACGCAAAAAGGACGAAACCGATAAACTCAGGATGATTACTGTATGCTGTCTCGATTATCATTATCATCACCTTGGGGCTACAGCCCTTAGAGGGCCTCGACCTTCTCAAGCTTTCTACGCCATTCTGTTCTGTCCCTTGCTTGCATTTTCCAGTTGCCGACTCCGATCTTCTCGGCATCTTGTGTTACTCCGTCCATCCACGTCAGCTGTGATCTACTCTGTCTTCTCATTCCCACGGGTTGCGCTGTTAGAATCTTATCATTCTTGTCCCTGAATCGAACATGAATTTATCATGTTCGATTCAGGAGCCCGGGCTACATGTCCTGCCCACTGCAGGCGGTTTCGCTTAATTATAGTAGTAGTATCTTTACCACCAAACGTATGCTTGTAGATATTCTGCAGTTCAAAGTTATATTTACGCCTCCATATTCCGTTCTCACGTTCTTGCGTAGCACATTTCTTTCAAAAATCGATAGAGCGGATTCATCTGTTTTAGTTAGCGTCCATGCCTCTGATCCATATGTGAGAACAGGGACTATCAGTGTTCTATACAGCTTTATACGAGTTTTTTGAGCCAGAAGTTTGTTAGCTAAGTACTTTGATAGTCCATGATAACACCTGCTTGCAATTATTATTCGCCTTTTTATTTCATCAGATGTGTTTTTATTGGGGTTAACCGATGACCCTAGATATATGAACTCTTTGACTGCTTCAAAGTTTTGGTCATTGATGATTAAATCTGCGTCAACATTTTCAGCTCTTGTGTTTGTGTTAGTCGTCATAAATTTGGTTTTATTTTGATCTATATGTAACCCCATTGGTTCTGCTGTCGCTTTAACCCTTTCAATGCGGAGTATCATAGTAGGATGTTGCCCTGTGCGGCAATATTTTTTTTAAAGTAAATTTTAAAAGTTTTAGTTTACTGAGTTGTAACGTCTTATAGGAAGATAGTTCAACTGATTTTAAGGTAATTTTTTGTAAAGCGCACCGGTGCGTCCGCCGCATTTCTTTAAAGAAAATTTAATAAAATGCGTAAAGCGCACCGGTGCGCCGTGATCAAAAAAATAAAAATGCAGAAAAATTAATTTTTATTTCATAACCTACAAACTAGAAACATAACAGCGAAAAGTGTTACAACAGAATTGACAAAAGTTTTAAGTAAACAAATACAAATTTTACAAAAAAAATAACAATATTATTTCAAATTAGCAACATCCTTTGGCAAAAACATATATAATAGCGTGAATTAAAAAAACTTATTAGTTATCGTGATATTTCTGGAAGCAACTTCCTATGCAGAGACCGGGCTGTTCTGGACATGTTGTGCAGTGATATGGAGTATCTTTTCGTATATTATTTTTAGCACACATCCGACATTTTTTTCTCAGAATTCTGTTCTTATCATTTCGAACTGTCATTTTTGTAGGTAAATGTTCTAAGTTTTGATGTACCTTTATTTGTTGCGGCTCATCTGGTAACAGTTTTTCTAAAATTTCTAGACGAAACTGATACAGAGATAATTTTTTACCAGAGTACTTATTGAAAAGGCTATGAGAGTTTTGCAAATATAATTGAAACATGTGAATGCCAATTTTCTTATACCATCTTAAAGTTTTACGTAGCATTGGATAATAAGCACACATCTGATCTCTGTGATCTATTCCTCCCATATGTCTGTTATACATAAGTACAGGCAAAGGTTTTTCTACTTCATTTCCCCTTCTATTTGTTGTAGTTTTCATTATATTCTCGTATTCGGTTGAAATATACACCACATCCCTTTTATCTTTCCATTTACCTACTAAAACTTTTTTGCAGTACATACCTTTGGATTCTCCTTTTTTTAAGTTTGCTTTTGTGACTTCAGATGGATTACCGATCCTATCCTTACGAATGGTTCCTGTACAGAAGGTATTTCGATTTAACAACTCTTTGGCTAGGGTAACACTATTATAATAATTATCCATGTATAGGGAATGACCACTATTCAAAAAGTTCCTCATCAAGAACAGCACAACTTTTTCTGTATGATTTTTACCACTTAGAGTATCGTTTGCACCAGCATATATAGTAAAATCCAACACAGTTCCATCTGTCTCCGTTAACATATAGAGTTTTACACCATATCTATGCTTTTTTTTTGGAAGATATTGTCTAAAAGCAAGTTTGCCTTTCCAAAGTACCATTGACTCGTCCAAAGACAAATGCTTCCCAGGATAATATAATGTCTGCATTTTCATATTAAAATGGTTCATCAAAGGTCGTACTTTATACAGACGATCTGCAGGAGGTAGCTCAGTAGCTGGTACATTTTCACAAAAATGTAAACACCTCATTATTAAAAAATATCGGTCTCTACTCATATACCTAGGAAAACAATTTGAAAATAGCCTATGCTTTTTCCAGTAGTCGTTTATACGAGGCAATTTGATGGTTCCCGTGTGTAGAGTTAATGCTATAAAAATAAGTAATTCCGATACAGTTAGCGGTTTCCACGCAGAAATTCTTGAACGTTGTCCACTACTAACAGAGAGTACTTCTAGGGCATAATTATTAGTCTGCAATACTATCATATTTAACAGTGAATCGTCCACTAATAACCTAAACCACTCGTAAGGTTCTTGGCCAGGAGAATCTACTAGTAATTGATTTACTTTGTTAAAAGGAATTTGAGTCATACCTTCACTAGTTTCTGTCCATGTATCCTGATTGATCCTGGGACGTAATTCAGTATTTTCGTCAAAAGTATTATTCTCAATGTTATTTTCCAAAGTATTTGCTAATTCCTCTTGCACATTGTCTTCAGTTTCACTTTCCGATGATTCCCTCTCCGAATAATCTTCATCAAAAGCTTAAAAAATAAGTTTTGTCAAAATCACAAATTTTAGAAATTTATTTACTTACAATCGTCCAATTCATAATCGCTTTCAGTGTCTGAATTATATAAAAATTGCATCAGTTCCTCCTCCGTTACTTTTTTTGGATTTCTAACTTGAATAATTTTACGTTTTTTTATCCCTGAGGGACCAGCTTCACATAATTCTGCCATTATTGTAAAAATAGAACAAATAAGTCACTCACTGACTAACGTTTAAACGATAAATAAACAGGTTATATTAGAAAATCCATTACTAGCTACCTATGTGAAACCCCGAAAAACGGATTTCACATATCAGCATTACATATATTTATGTAAGTGCGAAACATATTTAAAATACTTCTGATAACTGCGACGTTTTTAAATAAGCATATAAAAGTATGTGTTTTGAGAGCGCGCCGGTGCGCCGTTCGCATTTTATTAAAAATGAACAAAGCGCACCGGTGCGCTTTCCGCATTGAAGGGGTTAAAATCGACAAAAATATGATACGTATCTATGTTAAACTCTTGCGCTTTTTCGAGGATCTGTCGTAGTGTAAAGATCTGGTTAATAGTTGAACGTCCACGCCTGAATCCTGCCTGATATTCTCCTAGAAACGTTTCGGTATAAGGCTTCAATCTCTCGTGCAAAATGTTTGACAATATCTTGTATACTGTATTTAGGAGAGTTATTCCGCGGTAATTATTGCATTCCAGTTGGTTTCCCTTTTTGTGTAACGGGAAAATTAAGCCTAAGCTCCATTATTCAGGCATTTGCTCCTCAGGCCAACTTTTACAAACAATTTCTCGCATCACCTCTCGCATCTCTCAGCAACTCTCGAAAGTGCTCTACCCATCGTAACAGGATATCCTCTTTGTTGGTAAGTAAGTTACCTTCGTTATCATTACAATAGTTGATTCTCGGTTTGAATTATTTTATAATAATATTTATTTGATGATAGAACTTTCTTGTTTCTCCGAGACTCATATGGCTTTCGAGCCGTTCTAATATGCCATTTTCCGAGTCTCGTTTATGTGTTTTTCCTCTCTCTTTAAGTTTTTGTACGTATCTATTATTGTCCTAGTTTTCCGATGTTGCATGGTCCTAAATGCCTCGTTCTTCTCATGTGTTATTTTTTTGTAGTCTTGGTCGAATCAGTCGTTTCTTTCTTGGCTTCGGGATATTCCTAATGTGCTTTCAGCTGCTAATTTCAGAGCCTCCTTGCTGTTGTTCCACATTTCCGTGCTTGACTGGTCGACTGCCCAGGTATATTCTAGGGTTTCTTACCCTATAAGTATATGTGGCTGGAACTGTTTCTCTTTGTTTTAGTTTTTTTTAGCATATGTAAATTATAGTTTACTTGTCTAGTGCCCCTTTTTTTCTTGGCATTGGAAATTCTTTGTTGTAACTTGGCCCCTACCATGAAATGATCTGAGTCAATATTTGTGCCTCTGTAACTTCTGACGTCCTTTAGGTTTGTAAAGTGCCTTCTGTCAATTATAACATGGTCAATTTGATTTGTGGTGTGTCCATGTCTCTATAGGAAGTGTATTTCCTTGGTATAAAATAATCAGAAACTCTCTGGCCACGCTTAAATAAATTAACTCTATTGTATTGCAATTTTGAATGGCAATAATTTTAACTAAATGGTCACAGAAATATGATACTTTACAGCGGCTTCTCTGTTTGCGACGTAATTTCCAAAATAACAAAAGAAAAGTCAGTTTCTTTGAACTTGTTGGTGATACCAGTATGACAATGAGATTTTACTGAATAGAAGAAAATAATATCTTTTAAGTACAGTAGAAAAAAATATTAAAT